TGCAGGTGCTATCATTGTCCGCTAATCTTATAATGGAGTGCATTGATTGGCACATGGAATTGGGAAATTTGGTCACACTTAATCTGGCTCAAAACAGATTGAAAAAACTAACTGGTTTGCGTAAACTCTTATCGTTAGTGAATTTAGATGTTAGCTGTAATCAAATTGAAGATTTGGAAGAAGTTGATAATATAGCCTGTTTACCAATATTGGAAAATCTACGCTTAACTGGGAATCCACTTGCGGGGAGTGTAGGTAATAATTTAGAAAATAAAATTAAATAAGAATTCATTCAAATAAAAAACATTAACAATTTGAATTTTCAAAGATTATAGACCGCGTGTTTTAGCACGATTCCATGAGCGAGCTGTCGAAATTTCACTTGACAGTGAACCAGGCACGCAAAACGAGTTAGATACTGCCTTAGTATTATCTGCCTTATTAAAATCAAAAATGCGACAAAACAATCGTACACCGAAATAACATTTCGCGCTGTGTGGTTCTGATTCCGAGTTAGCTGGTCGCCAAATTTTAGTTAACATAAAAAGGATTTTAAGCTAAAACGTGCGTATATAATATTTTTAATTGTTCATATTTTATCTTATGTTAAACAAATATTTTAATATTTCTTGTACAATTTTCGTTTTATTTGTTACTAGTGGTATATTTTGTTATTATATGTTAATTTATTTTAATATATTATTATCTTTGTGCAATATTACAATTACTAATTTTGGCTTTACATATATTATTATTATTATCTTTTATATAAAGTCAATTATAAAAATAATTATATAAAACAAAGTATTAAGTATTCGTATAAGTTACTCAAATTGATATTAAATTAAAATTTTTTTAAACTTTGCATTACGTATCTCCATTTCTCAAAATAATATAATTTTAATTAAAATAATTTACTGCGAAATTTCGCTTCTTAAAAATAATTTTGATTAGATAGAGTGAAGTGATAATGTATATATTTTATAATATTTTATTTAAATGAGCTATATAGCTATACAATAAAGCTTTAGCGTATTAAATGACAAAATATTTATATAGATGTTATTCACAATTTTAAGTCACAAACCCGATAAACGAGTAACACAGCAATAATGCAAAGCAAAAACAACAAAACATATTTTCTCGAATTGTTCCCAGCTTATCACTATGTATGTTTGTCGTTTACCAAAAATCGTGAATATCACTATTGTTTTATTACCAACTGAAGTCATTATTACTTAGGTTGGACCCAAGCAATAGACATAAAAATTAATTTAAAACGCATTTATTGCACGTTTTATTATAAAAAATATATTTGAAACAAAATGTTAATTTCAAAATTTGGGTTAAAAACATAATAAGTCCTCTCGCCTATTTTTATTACTACATTAAATTGAAATTTTAAAAACAACATTAAGACTGTAGGAATCAGTTGATATATGTAAATTTTCTTATAAACATACAAAACGAAAACAAAAAATTATAAAAACATTCGATTTCGGTATTATATTAAGGAAATATTTAATTTTTAAATGAATGCTTAGATAGGAAGTATGTTCCAGTTAATAGTAGCAATATTATTTTTAATATGTAGCCGTAATATAATCGTATAGTAATAAAAGTAAACGTATACTAACAATAATAATAATAATAATAATAATAATAATAATAATCGTATATAGAAACAAATTAAAAAAATTCTATTTATTTTGTTTTTGATTTTGAAAGACAAAACAATTTTATTAATGTTTTTATATCAAATTATAAAGCTAATGAAACATTTAATATAATGAAAATTATATTTTTATTAAAAAATATAAATATATATCTAATTATATAAATAATTTCTAAAAATCAATTCATAAATTTTGTATAAACACATGATTTCAATAATATTTCATTGTATTAATTATAATGAATACAATATATACACAAAATATAATATATGTATTACAAAAAATATAAAATTAAAAAAATCAAAATGTAAATTTTATATAAACAAACACTTTTCAAACATTTACCCAGTGTTTGTTATTTTTCTTTGATTGCATATGACTACAATTATAATATAATAAATAATACAAATTACAAGGATATATTAAAATATATTATTGTGACCACAGATGTTAATATCGTATCACAAGTACGTTTTGTCCTAGATTTGCATTTAATATTTGCTTTAATCGTTTTCTTACAAGGTGGTTGGTTTATATATAAATTGTATTGCATCAATAATTTTATTGCATCATTTGATTATAATGTTGTTGTTCGGCAACAGCGGCAGCGTCAAACATTGGTGTATGCACTTCACCTAAAAATTGTGGTGTTGCTGGCGGATTAGGATCTTGAAGTTCACCTATAAGTGGCATACCAATGTCAGGTTCACCTAAAGTATGTGGTTCCACTTCTGGCTGTCCGAAACCAATATTGTATTGTGTTGATTGAGTTGTTGTGGGAAGACTAGAAGTAGAATCTACAATATTTGCATAGTTTTGATCATTAGTTGTTAAAGTTCCTTGATTAGATTCCATAATTGGTGTTGCTTCTGTTTCACCAAATTGTATTGGTGTTTGATTATTGTCATTTTGTGGTTCTTGTTTTTCGATCTGCTGCTGTTGTTGCTCTTGCTGCTCCTGTTCGTCACTTTCAACAATATTAGAAAAACTTTGTTGCAATTCATCTTGGAAATTAGTACTTGCTGCTATTGCAGCCGCAGTTGCAGAATCTTCGCCATCGTTGCACCCTTCACCGTCGCGTCGTACTAATCCAAGCATATCTAACATATTTCTTTTAACTGTATTTTCTTGTGCCAGTTCCACTGTTGGATATGCTGATTTTTGTCCACAAGTTGCTAAATGATGTGCCATTTTATTTCCAATTGCTGTGGAAAAACCGCAAATGCAATGCATTTCATTTGGTAGTGGCAATTCCATTTCATCTCCTATGCCATTTGTACCATTGCAGCCAACGCAATGATCAAATATTGCACGTTCACAACAAGTTTTGTAGTTACATTTATTGCATTTCATAAACACACTAAAAAAAAGAAAATAAAAAAATTATTTTTTAGAACGAATAATATATTTATAATTAAATCTGTATACCTATAGTGTTCATCGTTTATTATTTCAGAATTGCACTCAACACAAATCGATCCTTCAATTAATGTACATACTTCACCAAATTTCTTTTGTATCGTAAATGGTTGAGGTTCACGATGATGTGTGCGTACCTTTAAACAAAATAAATGTTTATAATAATTAATTTCTTTATAAACTAAATCTTTAATATTATTATCTTACTTTTGGTGGTGATATCAATAATGAATTATTCAAAAGTAAACGTACATTCTGTGGATTTTTCGTAAAGCTCACATGGTGGTTACTGCTGTGTTGCTTTAGAGCACCTTGAAAGTGAAAGTGAAAGAGTCATATAAAGTTATTAAACCTTTACGTTTTATTTTAAACTAAACAAACAAAAAATTTACCTTTGTTTATAAAACTTAAGGCGCATTTTTGACAACGCATCTGTGGTTCCTTTCTACTGACATGTTGACGCAAATGCATGTAGTAATTATCAATATTGTTCATATTAATTTTTCCTTTATAAGAAAAGCGGAAAATCTGTGAAGCAAAAAAGCATTAGTGTTATCAGCATTTAATTTACTTTTCAATTATTCCAACTTACATCTAAGCAGAAAGGACATTGTAAGAAGTTTTGGTTTTTATGATCATCGTAGAAGTGACGTACAACATCACGATGAGAAGATGATCGATAACCGCATGCTTGACAATTGTACGGTAATTCCAGCATGTTATGTACCTTTTGAAGGTGTATGCTAAGATGGTGTAACGAATTGTGACGTTGCTGGCAAATAAGACAATGATAAGACGGTGATGATGATATTTTTGTTTCAGTCGGATGCATTAATTGACTATGCTTTGCCAAAACCGCCTCTGTTGGAGATTTATCTAGGCAAAACAGACACTGAAATTGATGATCTTTGCCATCGAGATTAATATGTGAGACTATATGCGTCTGAAGTTTTTCATTTGAATCAAAAGTTTCCTTTGTATCGCAAATAGAACATTGGACTTCCGTACTGGCAGTACTAACAACACCATTATTTAAAGTTGTGTAAGGGAAACTTTCGAAATTTTCATCATTGCCGTCTCGCACGCCATAATACATTTCCTCTAAACCTCTTAAATCATCATCTTCCTTTTTGATGGTTTTTATTTCAATTGGAGCTTTTTTTGAAGCTACAACACTAGCTTTCGTTGTGGGGGTATTTTTAGATTGAGTGGTCTTGACTCCAGTCGTAGATTTTTGGGTTGTAACTTTTTTCTCTGGTTTTTCATGTTTATCTGGTTTTTCTTCAAAAGAAGCTTGTGCTGCGATTGCAGCACTTCTGCGTTTACTAGTTGCTGGAGTGGGTGTAGGCACACGCTCCTTTTCTTTTTTACTAATTTTTATAGCGGGTTTCTCCTTTTCTTTCTCTGGCTGCATATAATCTGCTTCGTTAATAGCTGTAAAAACAATAAAGAACTTTATTATAATGGATGAAGACATTAAAAATGTGTATAAATAATTGTCATTTTCTCTAAACTTTTTATCTTCTTTGTAAAGGATGCTGAAGATTATAACTTGCTATAATAATTTTAAAAGAATTATATTATTTTACTCCCAGACAGCTTTTATTTTTTCCTATTACTTGCTTTATAAATTGCTCCGAAGCTATCGCTTAAAAACTGAAGGGTTTAAACAATTATGAACTGGTAACAAAAGGTGCGATTAAGTTCCATTAATTGAACTTGAATTGAAATCTAACAAATGGTAAAACCATTAAGACAGAATACGTCAATGAATCTTTAAACACAATACCAGAAAACTAATCAAACAACATCTGATTATAACAAAAAGCATAATACCAGTATTTAACACCTGCCTCTTCGGAGCTCAATAATAATTTACAAATATCTTAACATTCCACTTAAATTAGAGAAATAAAAACAGTTCATTTACAAGTCATTGGTTTTTTATTTTTAATTAATTTATTAATAATTTCATTCCTTAGAGACATAAATATTAAGATATTATGCTTTTTGTTTATAAAGAATATACAATAAAAGCTAAAAAGAAATACGATAACAATTTCTAATGTTAATAGAACGATGAGTAATTATTTAAAATACAGTAAGGATGTTTGCAATTTAATTGAATTAATTTTTATTATTAAAAATGACCAATGTATGTATAGCAAATAATTTAAAATTATATTAAGTAATATATTTCATTAGCATCACATTTACTGTATTTGTCATTTTCTATTATTTTTGTTGCCTTTTTATAGCTCTCAAGTTCCAAATCAATTAATAACATTAGAAATTATTTAACAATATTTGAATAAGAACTACACATTTTAAATGCTGTAAGCAACTAAATTACAATTGTAATAAATTTATTGACACTTTCATATGCTACTTTTTTGGAGCTTGACCAAGTGCTGTAAACAAAAGAAAAATGTATTTAATGGAATCCAATTGATACGTAACAACAATGTAGCAATTTAAAAGTTAACAATAATAAATTTACTAACGTTTTTTCAGACGCTTAGGAGTATTGTTTGCAGGCGTATCCTTAAAATTTGGTGGCAAGGGACTCCAGTCCTTAAATGGATTAGTTGCAACCTAAAAGTGTATGTCAAATTAATAAAATATAACCTATTTATGAATTTATAAATGTATACCTGATATAAACGCTGCGTTAATGTTTCATTTGTGTTCATACGTGTCTGTTCAGCAATATGTGCAGTTATGTTATTAAATGCTTGAAGAGCATAAGTGCCAAACTGTTCTCTCCAAACAAGTTCATCTAAAAATTGTTGTATCATCTGACGTGATAATAAAGATAAGGTATTTTGGAACATGCGTGGAACAATATGTCGCAAATAATCCATAACTGCGGAATTATTATGTTTAGCTGAAGTATCTGTGGCTGCTGCTTGTACAATATTTTTAAAACCCATTGAATGTAAAGTCATTTTATCAACCGTCAAATCAATTGAAATAATACTATCTTTATCTACCCAACGTTGCAACGGTTCTAATATAGTCTGGAAACGTTTCTTATAATTACGATCTGCATCGGAGACCGGTTCAACAGCGCGCAGTCGAATTGTTTTATCAGTAAAATCTAAAACTCCCAGAACTTCAACTTTAACTTGACGTTGTTGTCCGTCTTGAGAAGTAGTACCAAGTGATATGACACCAACCTGTAAAATAAAGAATATAATAATTAAAATGACTTAATTATTCAATAAATAAATATTTATTATAATACAAAATATAATTATTGTGTAATATAGAATTATAATTATAGATTAAAGGAGTTAGTAACAGATAGCATCTTTATTCCTTTCTCTATGTGCACCGCACTGAGAAAACATCGCAATCTACATCATTATTATTATGAATCTCCCTTCTTTTTTAAGTATGACAGAACCGACATAAGCAAATTTAACCTCCATAACTTAAATATTTTTTGGGTAATCATGTTTTCTATTGAATTGCTTAAACGGTCTTGCTTTGATTTACCTGATGATAGTGTTATTATAAAGATCTCTATGTATATCAGGGTATCTAACATATTAGGTATATGTTTATATATTTTCCAGGTAATCTTTTAAAATTTTTGCAGTTACTAGAACGTGGATTTAGTTGTCTTACTAATGATAGCCATATAGTAATGATGTTCTGACGAATATAGCACCCGTTTGAATATACTGTAGCACAAAATACAAGTCCACATCGAATGAAAATGAAACAAAACAATAATTCTAACCGCCTAAATTTGAGTTTCAACTACAGCTATCAAGATACTTACATTAAGCGGCCAATCTCTATTGGTCAGGACAACCGACGCTGTGTGCACTGACCCCCACCCATGGTACCAAATTTAAGTCTCCGATATGAAACTCACTTACTACCAATTATACTCCATACAGTACCATATGGTATTTATTGGATTTTAGTCGCCTCTTATAACAGGTCCAAAAACGACCGGATAAAGGTCTAGGAACCACTCGTCGAGTTCGACTGCCAAGTAAAACCCAACAGAGACTACACAAGCAAGCAGACATGCCTTACCTCGGGAATATTCAAACCCATATCTCGAAGGAGGAATTAAAAAGAGATGATATTACCTATATTACCTAGATTTATCATGCTTTCGGTATAGAATAACTTCTCAGCTAATCAATACGAATATGACTTAGTTCTGCACTTTAATGGTTGAGTGAAAGTCAAACGCAGGAATTTGCATTTCACAGAATTTCCAGGTGTTAACGGAATTTAATGTTATTCTAATTTACGGAAAAGGTTCAAACAAACAAGAACGTTTGTTGCATGTTATTTAATAAAGATTAAAATAGTTTTTTTACATTCGATATTATTTATAATTACAAAATTACATTGCGACGCATAAAATTTATATTGCTTTTCCTACAGAATATAGGAGTCAAATTATAACCAGTACAAATTATAATTGATAAACATATATAACACAATAGTTTAATAAAGTCAAATGGAAATACTGGATCCAATTTTTGATAATCGCAAAACAGATAAAATGGATGAATATTTAACTTTACACTAAACTATTTAGTATAAATAACATTTTACCCTTTTTGTAGCTGATTCAAAAGAGCTGTTTGCTCTTTTGTTTGAAGAAACAACAAAATGTTTTAGAAATTATATATACTTTTAGAAATAAGAAATATTCCACTTTATGTAGCATACCTCAAAATGAAAGCCAGGCATATCTCTGAAGGCTTTAAAATTATAAAAATATTTGGTTCAACTTGGATTTAAAAATTTGAAGTTGGGTAACAGAGGAGTATTCCTTAAAACTTTAAAATTACTTTTAAAGGTATGTAAACGGTTTTACATTACAGCTTTCTCAAGTTTAGTATTCCGTCTTGATGTTAATGCATTTTCTCTGAATCAATGTTGTCGCTATCAAAAGAATATTGTTTATGGGAGTACAATTGAAATTAAATACAGTAAGGGAGAGAAAATATTGAAACCAATCATTAAATGCGAGGAACATTACGATATATATAAGAGCGTACTTATGATAACTGAAGTTTAAGATTTTAGTTAATATATATATATTTATATATATATATATATAAATAAATATGCTTAGGTGTATATATGGAAAAGAAAAAAAAAACCATACCTCTACAAATTTTTCAGGTCCACCCAATTTTTTGGATTTTTGATGTACAGCTAATGTACAAACTGCACGCAACCAAGTATATACTCCTTTTATATATACATTATCTACTTTAACCCACTGTACAACGTTTTGAATGTTTGTTTGACATGACCAATGGTATATCAGTTTCAGTATACAAGATGGAGGATGCGGTGCACCTTCAAATATGGAACCATGAAACACTGATATAAATCGAGTTGGACAACATTCACTTATCCAAACATATCCACCAGTGTATGGAAATTTGGAAGCATCAGAATAAACACCTGAAATATAATTAAAAAACTTAATAAAATATTCAAAAAAAAAAAAAAATTATAGCCTTTTATATTTTATACCTAATTTAAGCTCACTAGTCTGATGACTTTCGCACTTTTGTTCTGCTTTCAACAAGCCTTCTTGAATAAGCCATTCCGTAAACTTATTTGGCGTCAACATCAACACTAACTTAACCTTTGAATCCAGCTTGCTACGAGTGGCAGACATATCTTTTGCTTTTAACCATGGTCTAGCCAAAACCACAAGCGAAGGAAAAGTTTTACCTTGCAGCTTCGTCTCTTTATTATCCTTTGAATCTTTACCATTTTTAGTTTCACTACCCACAACTAAACCACCAACTGATGTTGATTCCGAAGGTCGAAAACCAGATGCCGGTATTGAATTTGTAGATGCTTTTTCACTCTTACTATTAGCAGCTTTTTTATCGACAGTGCTCTTATTTAATTGTGGTGAACCTTTACCACTAGTACTGGTAGTTGCGGCTTTTTGTCGAGTATTTATAGCTGTTTTACTAGTGCTTGCAGAATTACTTGTACTTGTGGTTGATTTTTTAGTTGAAGTGATTGCTACACGCTTAGCCAATGGTATATTATCCTCTTCTTCGTCAGACGATTCCAAAAATACAAAATTTGGTGGACGTTTACGCCCACCACGAGTACCAACAGTAGGGGGCGGCGTAGGCGCAGGTTCGGATTTTGGCTGTTTTTTAGGAACTGTAGCTTCTTTTAGCTCTTGTAAAACTTTTCCTTTAAATGAATAAGCTTGAAAAACCTGTCCATTAAAAATTTCTTTTCCCTCGTTATTGCTTAGCGCACTCTTAAGAGCATTCTTAATGGCATTGTGTTCATTTGCAACTTTTTCATAGGCGGCCAATTGAGCCGCCGATAAATCATCGATCCAACACTCTAATTCTAGAGTTATATCACTTTTAGTTACACGCATTTTATAAAAACAAACATTAATGTTCTTATACGACCTCTTGTTAGAAAATGTAATTCCAATGTATAAAAATTACTTTTACTGAAATTCTACGTAATTTTCACGCACGATAATAAAAATGGCGATGCGTTATGTGCCGTATAAGGGTTGCCACGAAAAGTCATTTTTCGCGTCCTATGGTTGCAGTAAAAAGTAGTAGGCAAATTCGCTTCGCTCGAAAAGAATTTTAGTGACAAGAAATAAGCTGTCAACAGCGTACAAAAATTTTTTTTACAATTTACAAAAAATCCTGTATTTTGTATATATCACTGTAGTTTATTTTTTTAACATGATGAATTTATTTACTTATTATTTAAACTTAAGTATTTTTTACTTGAATTCTGCTGAGAAAAACTATAGCTCGAATGACATCTACAGCAAAACTACGGTATAGCATTATGTTTGTGCAGTGAATTATGATTATTATTTGTTGTAATGAAAGGATTAAAATTACGGATGCGGTTATACTGGATTTATTGTAATTAAAACGCTATATTGAAGATTATTTATACGGTAATTATATTCCATATGTGTCCAAACGGTTTGTATATAGAATAAAACGTTTTATATAAAATGAATTAATTTCTTTATAAAATGTATTTATTAATGGTATTTATTATAAAACAAGCAACAAATGAAATATATCCTTAAAATTACTACATACGTATACCACAAATACATCAACAAATTAATATGAATTTAGTACTAAAAAGCTTAGATAATGCATCACTGTATAGTAAATTGTACCGTTTGTGAATATTTTCAACAGTTTTTTCTATCGAAGTGCAATTAATGTTTATTTATTTTTTAGTTAAGTAATTGAGTACTTATGAAAGAATCAAGTGTGAGCAAAAGTTATCGTCATCATTCTGGACGAAGTTCACGTTCACCATCAAGAGAATATAGCCGAGAAAGAGATCGAAAATATCGTAGCAGACGGCAGCGTTCGGATTCACCTCCTCAACACTACAAAAAATATAAGAAATCCAAAAAATCAAAAAAATATTCCAGACGAAGTAGTAGCTCATCATCTTCTAGAAGTGACTCCAGTAGTAATAGTAGCAGTCGTGGAAGCCGATACTCTAAAAAATCTAGTTCTCGTTCAAGAAAAGTATGTTTACCAAGTTCCGATAGCAATTCTCACTCAGCAAAATCCATTGTGACACCGAAATTGGATTTATTAGATGCACAAGTACAGAAAGTATTAACTACTATTGAAGAAGACGTTTTTAAACCGCAGTCATTTTTAAGTACTCGCAATAGAGATGCTCCACCAAAAGCATCAACTTCTGAAAAGGTAATTATTGATCTCAACTCAGATACAATAACTATACCGAAGGCTGCAGACACTATTGAAGAAAATTTGGAACATGAATACTTTCATCCAAATGTAAGTTGCTGTTTAAACGTATCTATGCATATTTTTAATGAAAATTTATTTATTACAGTTTATTGGCGAACAAGAAAATAAAATCGAAAAATGGATTAAAAGATTGTATAATTATCGACAAAAATTTATTTAAGTTAATAAAGAATTAAGTACAATAAATATAAAGATTTAAAAGATATCCGATCCTGTTTTTCTTGCTCGAGTATAAGCTTCTGTTGCTGTTAGATTTTCAGCATCGGAAGGTTTAGTCGAACTGCCATCAGCATTCAATTTTCCATCTTTAAAGTCATCAATTATTTTTTGTGAATATATTGCATTAAAAAGATCTAAGCTAGTAAATTCAGATTGAACTACATCTGGTGCCCTATACGATACATAAGGCTTAAATTTGCAATCAGTTAAATCTGGAACGATTAATTCTGGTATCTTTTCGGGTATTTCTACATATTTTCCATTAACCATAATTCCAGTATCGCGTACACCTCGTTTATGCACAGCTACTGGTGGATTTGCTAGGGTCTTTTGTTGTTCTTTTACTGCTCGAGTTCCTCGCTTATTGTAAACGAGAAATTTACGAAAATTCCGTTTTCCCGCAAGTACTGCTGTTGTGGAAATTTCTCTATGCGGCACTTTGACAACAAATTTTAATAATTTCCGACAGTTTTCCATTGTTTTAAACAAAACTTTAACTTTGTTAAATAACTAAGGGGTATTTAACCTAAAATTGTTTTGTTATTAAAAAATCTAGTAACAGAGAGTGTCAAGTGTTGATAAAAATTTCCATCAGTTGTCACACATTTCAGTGTTGTATTTGCCAACAAAAAATTTTTATAACAGAAAAATAAATTTATTTCAATTAAACTACTTTCAAACAATTTTTATTTGTTATCACATGATATTATTTATTTAGTGGTTTTTTTTATGTAACGGTTTTTTTTATAGTTATTATAGGATAAGATTTGGCATACTTTTAATCAATTGTGTTTGCTTAAATTAAAAACAATTAAAACTACATGCGCATATGCATATATACACACCTGAAAATCAGTTCTTCGATGAGATTATGCGTCTATAGACATGAAAAACATGTAGAATATAATTCCTGCCGAAAAGTGTTATATACTCTAAATTTATTAAATTAATATTCACTTTAGATTTACTCTTGAACTGTCAGATCAAACGCAATGGCTTATATTATTATTAGCTGTTTATCGTAGCAAAAAATTTAACGTTGGTTGTAAATATTTTTAAATTAGCGTGTTTGGCATTCTATTTTAAGCAATCAATATTAAGGCAAATTAAAAATAAAATCTAAATAGAGTAATTTTAGAGTGAATTTTGATATCATAAAACATCTCTGCAAAATAATTATATATATATAGGTATATATATGTATATATAGAATAAAAATACAGCCCTACACAGAAATACTATATAATGCGTTTTGCTATGGTAGCCATTAACAAATAGACTTAAATGTTCGGTTAAAGCGCGATAAATGCCTCTGTATTAACAATTTAAAGATATTTATACAATGGTATTTTATTTTATAATATTTTCATATTTTTTACGAAATTAACTTTAGTGCCTTGTTCTATTAAACGTTTTTTTAATTTTCCTTTTTAATAGACGAATGAAAGTATGTTTTGTGTGCTCTGAACCAACAATCAGCATGGACACAAACCAGCTGACAAAAAACCAGCGAACCACAAAAGAGGTATTCTGTTTAATGAAACACACGTTAAGAAATGTTGAATTCAGATGACAAAGTATTATCTTTCGTATCATTAAAAGTTTTTTGGATTAAAAAAAATAGAAAAAAAAAAATAGAGAAAAAAATAGCAAAATTATTATTCTTTTTTATTGTATTATTATTTAGTTCAAAAAAACAACAATTGCTCAAGTCAATGTTTAAATAGATATAGATTTTTTGGACAAATTATTTGTTCCATATAAAACAAAATTAAAAGTCGTCGCTGAGAGTCACGTAATATAGCGTTTACACTGGTCGAAAATGACTTATTTCAAATAATTTGAAATTGTTTACTTTCGTTGTAATTCATTTGTTCTCATTTCAAACAGCTGATTTTTCAACTTGCCTGTTGATTTAATTTAAATAAATATCTCCAAAATCTCATAAATAAATAGGAGATTAAATATATCTTCAAACCTCACAATATAAACTGAAAACTCATTTTTAGTTTCGATTAATTTATTTTTGGAAAGTAGAAGTTCCAAAAAGAGGTACATTGTTTTCAAGGAAAACATTTGTTTACATTTTTTTTGTAAATATATCAAAAACAGCTTATTCAAACTGTCAAAATTCCAAGAAAAGCTTTTATTTAGGATATGTTCAACGTATTCGTTTGCGTTTGGAACATATTTGGAACTCATTTTAACCTCGTTGAAACTCATTTATACAGAATGAGATCCAATGGATCTCTTTTGCGCTTGATATTTTGTATGCAAAAATAAGTCATTTGCTTTTAATTTTTGATTTTTGACCATAATGAGCCATTTGAGGCCAGTGTAAATGCCGTATTAGTCAAAGTTACTACGAATAGCAAATTTATTTATTATTTTTTAAGTTTTATTTTAAAATCCGAATAAGAGTTATTAGTTGATTTTTATTTTTTTTAAAAATAACTGTTACTGTTCCTGCATGTATTACTTTTCTGTTCTCAAAATGAAAACATTGAATCTGTGAATGAAAAAAAGTGTAATAATATATTACTAATATATTTATAATATATATGTAAAATATTATTAAAATTATTGATACTACAAAGCAAATGCATTTTTTTAATATCTTTAATTTTTTTACGATATAATTAAATCATTTCTAATTCGTTCCACTAGTAAAATAATATTTAATATTAGAAGCTTAAAAGCTCAATCAACCTCTCCATTACTCAATGATTTCATTTGTAAGCTTTGTCAAAAATAATAAATTCTATAAGATGTCGCAGTTCGCTCTTATACACTTTAGAGCTTTCGTTGAAGCATACCAACATTAGGTGTCCAATGAACACAATCCACATTTTCTACACACCGTATATTTTGTTATTATGATTTTAACAGAAATTAATACAATTCTGTTAAAGACAGTAATATCAGAACATGCATATGGAATTGGTGTTTATAAAGCAGCTTTACTAGGCAAAGCAAAAGTGTACCTAATTTTATTCAAGGCAGTTTAATTCATTTAATATGTCAATGCATAAATTATTATTGCTTCTAATATTTAAAAAAAATTTTAACAATCATTATAAATAAATATGTAAAGAGTATATGCGCATGTACACATGTTACAATAACTTTTTGTTACAATACTTGTTTTCTTCAAGTAAATAAGCATATATTTTCTTCCATTCATGAATTTTTGCAAAAAAGTGATTTGCTTAAAGCAGTAAAAATTACCAACAATTTGCTTTGCCTAGTAAACAATTATTACAAATGCATGTTGTGATCTTACTTTCTTTAACAGAATTATATTAATTTCTGTTAAAATCATAATAACAAAATATATGGTATGTAGAAAATGTGGATTGTGTTCATTGGACACCTAATGTTGGTATGCTTCAACGAAAGCTCTAAAGTGTATAAGAGCGAACTGCGACATCTTATAGAATTTATTATTTTTGACGGTGTGTAGAAAATGTGGATTGTGGATAGAATTTATTATTTTTGTTTTGTATGCTTCAACGAAAGCTCTAAAGTGTATAAGAGCGAACTGCGACATCTTATAGAATTTATTATTTTTGTTTTTGGCAAACATCAACGCTAAAGAATTATTTTTTAGTGCGGTTTTAACTTGTTAGGCGAGTGGTTCGCGTTTCGTGGGCTTTTTGTGGTCTTTACCGGTAATTGAACAAAAAGGACTTTTAAACAGTCCAAATATAATTTGCTTAGTTGATGTTAATTTAAGGATATTGTACTTAAAGAGTTTTAAAAATTTATCACTCAATTAATAAAAAAAAAACTATTAGTAATTAAAATGTGCACTATTTTGGTGCAAGAGGCAAATTGGCAATTAGAAGATTACGCGATCTTCAAAAAATGTGGCGAAATTACAGTTTCTCCAGATGAACAGTTTTTTGGTCTCAATTGCGTTTTCTGTTCAGGAATTTGTCTACAATTTGATATTTTTATGCAACATATACGTGAACAGCATAGTCAGGATATAGAAGTGCTCTATTTGGAATCGGGAAAAAACGAAAAGGAACAAATCACTCAAATGGAATTGGATTCTACTGCTAACATTAATTACAGTGCCATTATAAATTCAAAGCAAATGATTTCCGATGACATGTCAAATGCAAATAATTTTTTAACGAGTTGCGAATTTGAATTGCAAACACACGCGCCGCAGGAAGAAGTCGACTTGGTTTATATTATGGAGGGGAATCAACTGGATGACGTTGTCGAGGAGAGAAGTGTCGGTACGCTTAATATATTCAATGGATTGAAGCAGGACAATAATGACAAGGTAAGCCAAAAGTTTTTCTTTGATTATAATTGGAAAAAATATGTGTGAATAAAAAATTTTTAAATGTTATTTTTAGAAATTTTATTAAATATTTTTAATTGTCTTGTGTCTTTGTCGCAGACAGAAAATTTCCATAAAAAATTCTAAAAATATTGTAATTTTTCAACAAATTTTTACCGCACAAAATTTATTATATATTCTTCGTTAAAAATCTCTATTTATCTGTCATTTGCAGTAAGAGACATAGTAAATCCTATATTCATGAATAAAAACAATAGATGTATATATTAAAACACTTCTTATGGATTATAATTAAAATTAAAATTTAGTAATAAAACTTGTATTTATTATGATAATAAGGGAATAATTTATAGTAAAAAGCCTAGGCATTACCTTACCTAAATACCACAAAAGCAATAGATGAATCCGTTGTTCTGAATAAAAAAATGGTTTAAAACAGGAAGTCAAGTTATTTTATAGTCACGCCCTTGTGTTCAAACACCATTTGAACTCAAATAATAGCTCGTTGTGATACCATGGTTTAGCATGCATTCATACAGTGAATAAAGGAATTCCCTAACTGTCGTTATAAATGCAACGCCGCAAGCCACGACTCTCACATTCAAGTAAAAGTGAACTAACCTGACAAGTCCATAAACCTGTCCTAAAATTAAAAGATGATAACTCTGTCAGAACGGTAAAAAAAGAGACTCCAAAAATTTTGAATCTTTTACCAGACCATGTCACATGACGTGGAGTATAGTTTCCTCCTCATCCACAAAGCTACAACTTCGACAAAAGTCATTATAGGGCAGACCAAGTCTCATAGCATATCTTCTTTGTACGCAGTGATCTGTCAGCACCGACACCGTAGTGTTGAGCAGATTATGCTTCAGTTTAAGCAGCTCATTGATACGTTTCTAGTCCGGTTTGAACCAGTTCACACTTGAAGTCTGACACGAGAGTTCATTTGTCCAAGTTCGTTCAGCTGTACTTAGATATTTTAAAATGAGAGAAGTGGCAGTTAATTCTTATTACTAGATTGTTATATTAATATTAAATTTAATTTATTTATATATTATATTTAATATTAATACATTATGTCAAAAAAAAAAACTGCACATAAAAAAGGTCTTCAGTCATAAACTCATCAGCAATAACTTCCAAATTACTTTTACAAAAGGTCCATATTGTGCAACTGATTTTAGTATATAACATAGCCTTAAACATATTATCCAATTAGTTATTATAATATATTTTTATATATTATATGTTAGAAAATATAAAAATTCACAGACGTATAGCATTACTATATACATGATTATAGACATAGTCATAATAGTGCTAGTCATATAGTACATGGTAGACAGGAAGAATTTAACTGAAATAATTCTTAAAAAATTAATGGCCCTTTTAAAAAGAATTAGTCTAGTTTCAAGACATGGTTTCTAAATTAGGATAAGTCATTTTCAATATGTGTGTATTTATATGACTAAAGTTCTTTTAGGGTAGAATGCTGTAAAAAAGTGTGTCATTATTATCATCACTTACCGCTATAAACTGGAATAGATTTCGGTTTTTACAATTTCGCTCTATGTCTGCTCAAGAGTCTTCTGTTTTTCTTATCAACAGTGCTTATATGTTTACGGTTACAATTAATGATACATATTCGGGTTGTCATTTGTGTCTAGATTGTGCTCAAAAACTTTTTCCTGCGGACTAATCACAAAAATTTTTACAATGTTTGCTAATATTCTCAATTTTAATTTCACATATCAGATCTTAAATCTCTTAAATCACATATTTTTCAATGTCATCTTAATTTGTCAGTCGAAATAATTTCTCATCGCTGTTTAGAATGAAGTTTCTTAATACGGTACACCTTTCGCAAACAAATTTATTATCTCTAAATCGTTCCATAATTAAGTAAGAGTCTTCCTTGTAACTTTTTTCTATTTCTTCGGTTAAAATGACTTGATCATATGTGCTAGTGACATATGATCAAGACATGGTGTGTAGTTAAAATTGTAATAAAAATAAAAGTATTAAGTGTAACATATACATTTTATCTTTTAATCAGTGAAATAAATTCTTAAGGATAAAATTCTAGCAACAATATAGGGTGAATACTTTAGTAAAAGGCTTAAGAATTAAGATCTCCAGAACTCAAATCAAAATTAAAATTTGAGTAGATATCAAATAAATATAAAAAATGTAATAAATCAAACAGGCTTCGTTAATGCTAAGTAGAGATTTGTTACTCCTTGAGGCAGTGACCAGAAATAAATAGATTAAAAATATAAAAAACCTACATGTCTTCAAGTTTTCAATTATAATATATTCAAATCTTAGAACAATGTTGCTTCGGAACAAAAGTTTTGTAAAACTACTATACAAGTATTTATTAAAAAATATTAAGCAGATATTATTTTTCTATTTATTTATTATTTATACAATATTATCAACATTTTCTTAAAATACAAATATCTGCAAGTATATATTTATAAGATACCATATGAAATTGGCACAAAGAATATTTCGCTTCAATATGTGTGATATAATATCGTTATATATGGAAAATCTAAATATAAGTACTTGTACATGCAAAACATTGGAAATTTGATTTAATTTTTTATCCAAGAATAATTTTTGTATTATTTTTGCATCTGAAAAATATAACATTTAGAATGCAAAAAAGAAAAATGCACTTCAAGTAAACAATTTTGTAAAATGTTTAAACATTTGAGATATAAACAAATTAAAATACACATGCAATATAAATATACAAGCATATTGGTATAGATTTTAATTTTTTTTAAACTTTATAATGTTTATAAAAATATAAACTTTATCTTTAGTTACAAGATACTTTATTTTATAGCTTGTATTTGTGCTTTTGTATTTTGTGTTGTAATATTTAATTATAGTGCATTTTTTGGTATTAACTATATTAATGACTACATAGATTTTTGTCTAAGCAAAAAAACTAAATTTAAAGAAATAAATAATTTTTATTATTTATTTAACTGATATTTCAAATATTATTATTTAACTGCGGTACAGGTGATGTATTGTACCAATCCTAGTAGTTTTAATCGATATTAGGCTTTTTATTTGTATCGTTCCATAGTTATGTTATGTTAAGACAAGAAATTTAAGACAAGAAAGATAAAGAATGTGTGCAGACATTTCATCATCCATTTCTTAATATTATAAAGAAATGGATAATATTATAATATTATAAATATTGGGCTCTAAGAGGCCCATTTTCTTGACGTGGTACCTCAGCCTGAAATACCTGAAATACTCTCTAATCAGTGAAGGAAGTTTATGTTATTTGCGACTGCTTTAAATGCGTTTAGAATGTTGTCTTTAAATGTAAGGTCTTGTCTTTTTATAATTTAAGTTTTTTCACTTTTGCTGGATTACAGAATGAATTAAGTTCAATTCAGTAACTTTTTTTAGACTTCCAGTCTAGCAATTCAATCAGTGTTTTCGTTGCTGTAGCTGGTTGCTGTAAGCACGGACCTATTGTTCCTTATCGACACCAGATGTATTGAACCCTTACTCAGTATTGGTAGTTGACGTTTTTTCAAACTGAAATATTCAATATTCATTACTTTGGGTTTCTGGTGTGATAATTCAATCAGTATTTTCGTTGCGGTAGCTAGTCTCTATAAGCACGGAGTTATTGATCCCTATTAGTACTAGATATATTGAACATCTACCCAGCTAGTTGATACCTTTGCAAATTGAAATGTAAATAAGAGATAAAATGGTTTTCAAATTGTCTTTAAACGGCTAGTGACTTATGACTGGTCGGTCTAATATAATTAGATGAGAGTTAACATAGCTAGTTTTCTGGCTAAACCTAACATTTAAAAATACATATAGCTTCGCTAGGTATTTTATTCTAAATTTTCTTGAACTCAAATTTTGCTTTTGGTATATCTAGATCAGTGGTTCCCAACCTTGTTTTGACCAAGAACTACTTTGATATTTTTGTTTTTAGTAGGAACCACAAACTGATTATTTTAATATGCTTTATGCATCTCTGGTATAATGTGTAATGAATTGTGTAAGTGCATAGGTACATAATATAGACTATAAAATAGGTATATTATTACAAGGAAATATTTTGTGCTTATTTTCTAATTAGTTAGGTCTCAGTGGACAAACTACAAGCTATGTATCCATACCTGTTAAATTAGAATCACGCACCATTTTTAACAATCTCGCCAGTTGGGAACTACTGATCTAGATTTTTGTGAAAGTTTTTCTATGCAACTAATTGCAAAGGTAAGGTTCGTTTAGATTAGTGGCTTCTTGCACCAAGATACACTTGATATCAAATAATGGCCCGTTGTAATACCATTCTACTTGAGATATAGGTAAGCTATTTATAGTCATTATTGTTATTATTATTATTATTCTATTTATTTTTGTTGATATTTCTTTTTCGAGATATCTCTCAAAAAACATTACGAAACTTGAAGAACTGCTCTCTGTATTATATAGTATTACAGTAATTAATCTGTTGATCTAGAATATTCAAATTTTCTAAAAGTTTCTATTTAATTATAACTTTTATATTCTCACTTATCACTTATATTCCTATAACTAATAACTATATCAATTTCTTTTTGTTTGTAAATAATAACCACTATAATAATTCTATATTCAAAATCAGTATTTATATTATGTGTAAATATGAAATCACAAAAGCTGTAATTAATTTGTAGGAATTAATTAGGAAGCAGAAAATTTAATTTCTACATGTCGCATGATAAACACGAAAAAATTTAATAAACGTGAATTGATTAAAAAAACAAAAACGATTATTGTTTTTACTTGATAAGAAATATAAGAGTTATGATAACAGGTATAAAAATTTTATGAAATAAAAATTTTGATTGTTTCATTGCACTGCAAACATGTATTATCTTAAGTACTTAGAACCTCACCCAACACGCATAATCTAACCCACATTCTCCACCAAC